TGAAGATTACTATATACGAGTAGATTATTTTGTTTGTGATATTTTTTCTAGTTTCCATTCATGGAAATGGAATCTATTTAAAAAAAAAAGCTCTGAAATTGGTTATATTTTTGTTTTCGATATAGTTATAGTATATTTCTCATATAAAATGAATATATTTTTCAAAATGAATAAATTAACAAACAACTATGAAATATTGGAAATGTACATTGAATGAATATTCTGAAACAAGTCAAAACAATTTCAATTCAACATTATACTGACAATCTTTATTATGATGGTATTAAGAATGTTATAGATTTTTTTATTTTACAATAAACCATATCCTTCAGATCATTTTTCACGGCGATATTTCTTTTTTTTTGTTTTGACTTTGTTACGTCTAATTATACAATCATTCGAGTATTCTATAAATAGTTATTTAAAATGAAAAGTATTATCGATAAATTTTATATGTCAGAAGAAACTAGTGCTAATTATTTTCAGTTTTTTTTTTCTTTTTCAAATCGAAATTTGTCGATCTCTATAAGAGATGATTCTATTTAATTTTCAAGTTTTATTGAAAATTGTTCAAAGTTTTCTGCATATTTTTTTATTTTTCTTTTGTTAAAAATATGAATTCAATAAAAAGAAATTTTATGTTTTAAGATAACTCAGTGAATGATGATATCATAGAATACAAATAGTCATTCATGCTCTGGTGTCTTTTTTGTTTTTACAAAAAGAAATTATATTTTCCTAACTTATTTCTCTATTATGAATGAATGCTTTATTTTTAGGAGAAACGATAGTTTTATTTTTGTTTTTTTGCTCATAAAACTTTTCTAAATCTCAAGAATATAAAATATCCTTGAAATATCGATGACAAACAAAAGAAATTTTAAAAAATGTTTTTGTTTTTTTATTTCTTCTTGAAAAAGTACCTTTTTTTATTATTTCGATGATAGTTGTTGTTTTAATTTATTTTTCTATCTTCTCATATTATAGGATTTTATTTTTCAAAATATTTTCTACAAAATGAAACTGATTGATTGATGAAATCCTAGTAAAACGAAAAACAAAAAACAAAAAAAAAATTGACGTTTCTCTATAAGTGAGGGAAGTCGAACAAGTATTTATTTTTATCGATAAATCCAAAATATAATGATTTCGTAGTATAAAATGTTCTTGTCTCAAAAATGAATTTTTAGAATTAGGGTGTGGGTGAATCAAGAAGATAAAGATACACCCACACCCTTTCTAATTAAAACCATTCATATATCAACAATCAAATAAACGGTAAGATTAACTTTTCTCTTCTTCTTCTTCTACTTATACAAGAAAACAAAACAAAACAAAACAAACTTTTCTTCTTGCCATATTTAAAATTAATAGATGTCTTTACAATGTTTTTATTCCATTGACTCTTGAGAATTGAAACTTTATCAAGAAAAGTAATTGCTACTTATTTACACAAATCATTTATTTTATTTTTTTTTCTCGGATGTTTTCAATGAGAAACTAGAGGAAAAAAGTTTCGAACAGCATCTACTGAATCACAGTATGTCTCCGAAGTTAATAAATTTTCTACTTTCGAACAATTGTCTCTTGCTGGTTGTTGGTCTTGAGCGATTATTGTCAACAATATATCCTTATCAATAGCCAGTTCGATTAGACAAGGAAGATGACTTCGATAAAGAAATTGTTCAGCATAATCCATATGTATATCGAATAGAATCAGTGTAGATAAATGAGTAAACTCAATATTATTTGTTGTCACTCTTGTTTTCTCTTGTTGTTCAAGTTCATTGAATAATTCGAGTGTTCTAAGATAAGGTAGATCTCGAGCAATACGTGCAAAGAAAAGATTTTCGAATGGTTTGACATCATCAAAAAGTAATAACATAGTAACCATTGAAAACGTCTTATTCATATTGAATAGTGGAAATCGATTTGAAATGAAGTCAAGACGATTGCCATTAAATGGAAGCGAATAGATTTGACACTGACTATAATTATTATTGAAATAGTCGACTGCACAATCAACTGATCCTTTTTGATATTTGAGAAAACTTTGACGAATTGTATCAATTTCAATATGAGTAGCGTTTTCAAATATTGTACGAATGTGAAAATTAAATTGACGTAAATTAGGCATATATGAAACAATGTCTTTCTCCAAATCAAATCCATTAACAAAATTATTGAGTCTACTTGTTGTTCCATCAATAGCTAATAATAATGTTAAATATTCAATATTTGAGAAACGTTGTAGAACAGAAATAATACATTCTTCATAATGAATTATATTCTGATAAATTTTCATTGTTAACTGTTTTAAATGAGGACATGAAATCTAAATGAGTCAATTAAATGAAAGTTCAAATTAAAATATATTACTTACGGATTCTATTTGAGATATAATATCAGCATTCTCTACATAAACATATACAATGCTTATAGTCAATGAACAGAGTTGTGAGCCCAATTGACTTAGTAAACTGACACATTCGTCGAATTCATCTAATGTTATTCGGATATGAGTTAGTTGCATTGATTGAGGGAAAAACAATCTACCAGGATTAGATACAATTGGTAAAATACATTCATCATCAAGTTCGAATGATACAATAGAACGCATAAGTGGTGAACAACGAACGGCATATAAAATTCGGCTACCAATGTATCCCTCCAGTCGAACAAATTGAGGTATAATTGGGAGGAGAGGTTTACTCCGGCGAAAAATACGATAATGTTTCATTCCTAATAAAAAATGTATATATATATACAAGTTACAATATAACATTTTTCAATCTAGTCTTTTGCTTTCTGCTATTATTAACTTGACAAAAAGACTTTTCTATATATTTGTCAACTACGATTTTTGTGAGAGAAATTTTAATACATCCATGTAGAGATAAAATTATATGAGAAGGTTTCTACTGATTAGTTTCAACTGTCCAGATATTTTATATATAATAGTGTAGGGATTTGTTGATACTTGTTTGTTATCGCCCCGCAAAAGTTTTAAAATATTTTTTAAAGTTTTTTTGTTGAGATGAAACAAGATCATAACAAATAAAACAGAACAACACTAGTACTAGGAATGATAATAAGATGAAAAGATAAAAAATTAAAGGATACGATAATATTAAAAAATTTAAAAAAAAATTGCGGGTCGATAACAAACAAGTACCGATTTGTTTCAGATAAAAGATCGACAAGAGATTTTGAAATTTGTCAAGTCATAGAATCTTCATTATTTTCTAAGCAGAAAATCAACTAAACTAATACTTAAGTACAGCTTGAAAAAATATATTTAATAATAATTTACTTGATCTATGTAATGTATAAGGAGTGCCTGTTTGATCATGTTGTTTACCAATCATTATTTTCAAATGTGTCAAATTTGGAAGAGTTCCATTAGAGTTTTTTTCAGCAAAAGTTATTATATGAGGAATATGTCGAATGGTGAGTGTCAATGATTGAACATTATTGATAATATGAGGCATAATATCTGAATAAAATCGTTGAATAAGTGTTTCATATGGTGATTGAACATAATCAAAAGTTAAGTCAATTGAATGACATCTATCAAGTGCAAGTTGTTCCAAACGATTATTACCAATTGTAATAATAGAACTAAGCAATAACACATGAGGTTTAACTTTATTCATAATATTTAAAATTAATTCATCAGGTAAATCGAGTAATTGAACATTGTCTTCTATACAAAACAATAAAAAATAAATGATATTTCGAAATAGTTACATACACATACTTAATAAACAATTCATTGTTGATATAATGTGTTCGACTGAAATTAGAATAGACGTACACATATATAAATATGTGAAAACTTATGTTTGACGTACATTGTCTAAATGTGAACCAATCATTGATGATCAATCATTTTAACAAAAGATGTTTTTATTAAAAGAAATATGTAAGTGAACCAATCAGATGAAATTATATTAAAGATATTTTCACTCTACAATGTAATTTGTTAATTTTAAATATATTTAACTTTAGAAGTGACTTATAATAACACTAAAGATTATAGAATGGTTACTATTATCCATTTACCTATTAATAGATGTGCACCCATGTAGATATCATACAAATATTGATGTACTATAATGGTACTTGAATATTTTTTGATAAGTTATTAGCCATTTATCAGGGATTTTTCAAGTTTAGCAATTCTATCATTATTATAAAGACATAACATTTATGCTTTCTTCTTTTTTGGTAAAATTATAATTTGAAAAATAATCGAAATAATAAAAATATCGTGAAAAAAAAACTAAGCTACTATCATGCACAGAATTCAATGCTTGAATCTAAAGCATGTTAAAACCATAATAAAGACTCAGAAGTTTGTTATTTAAAAAAAAATTATTAAAGAATATTTGAGTATAAAAAATCGAAGCTAACAATAAAAAGTTAACAAACATTATTATGATAATCGTTAAGATGGTATCCATCTAAGAAGCATCAATATTACTCAAATTCGAAATATATACTAACTAGTATCGATTTTTGGAAAGAAGGTGGTCCGAGAAAATGGCTATAACTTTTGAAAAGAACATGATATAGATCTGCAGTTTTCACCACTCGATAGAGCGTCACAGGACACGTAATATTCTCAAATATCAGATCTACACAACAAGTGTAACATATCAAATATTTCTTCACAATCTTCATGATGCTCTTGTTCCCTAGTAGTACGATGAATTTTAATTTTAAAATAGTGCAATCGATAGTCCAACTCAAGATGTGCAATTCTAGATCAAATCTCGATTTCTGTCTCATACGGTTCAAAAGTTATAGACATTCTTCGTGAAACCACCAATTCCATTCCACAGTCAGACAATAGTACGACAAATACTCGACAGGTAGGCTATCAAATACGCTGAGCATGAACATGAGCATCATGAAGATTGTGAAGAAATATTTGATATGTTACACTTGTTGTGTAGGTCTGATATTTGGGACTATTACATACCCTGCGACGCTCTATCGAATGTCAAAAGCCGCCGGTCTATATCATGTTCTTTTCAAAAGTTATAGCCATTTTTCTCGGACCACCTTCTTTCCAAAAATCGATACTAGAAATTTTTTTTTTTTTCATAATTCGGATGAAGTTTTTAATTCAAGTGAAGTTTTGAATACTAATAATTTGGTCTTCGAACGAAAATATATTCATATTTATATTTCGTTAACAGTTGAGCTTCGTGCATTTTTTTTTAAATTATTTTCATATCATTTGTTGTTTATTTATGCATTAAGATATTTTTTACTGAGACTTTTACAATATTTAATTTAGTTGTTGTTCGAAATTTATTATAAAAGCTTGTCAGCACAGTCTTTTGATAGTAAAATGTGAAACGTACATCACTTCGTTAGCATTATTATACTGATACAACATACCTAAAGTGACGAAGCTCTAACAGATGATAGTTGCTCTCTAATGATAATAAATTGTCAGTAAATCTATTTATATCTCTATTTCAGGTATATATTTCTTTTTCTAATTTTTTTTGGCTGCTACTTTATTTTCTTAATTGCTTTATTGCTATTCACTAGTTATCTATTTTCTTTTTTTATTTCGTTTTTCTTAATTTTCTGTTAGTTTTATTTTTCTAATCATCGATTTAACTGACAGATAAGTCTGTTATACACAGCTATTTGATTCTACAACAGCTCTCGAGACACTATAATATATCGCGATAATTACAGAAACCTCATTATTAATTCTTTCCAAAACTTAGAACTTAAACAGTTCGTACGTTTTGTGTCGGTCCTATCCTGACTACGATATATCTGCAATACAATCGTCGTACTGATTGACATCCACAAGAAGTTCATTTCGCTGCACTAGCGAGGGAACACCTCGGAACACCTCCAGGTAAAGCTCCGCCTTTGACGTGATATTTTGCCCATATATAGGCCTTGGTGAGATTAGAAAAACCTCAAAATGGTTTGGGTTTCTATGGCTTCCTTGTTGAAATATGAAGTTCACATTTTCTGTAACGGTGCTGTGATTTATATTGGAATACGATGCAATGGAAATTTGTTCACAACGATATGAAATACAGACTTACAATTGTTTTTTGCGTGAACTGCATTTCATAGTGGCCACATGTAATACACTTTTTTAGCTCTACCAAAGACTTCGAAGATCACTTCAATTTTTTTAATAAGTTCCTGCATCTGCAGAACAGTCTTATTGAGTATATGCTGAAATCCTTATGTGTCATGAACCAAAGTGAACACTAACATAAAGTGAACCTAAGCAATGCAACGAGAACAAGTGAACTTTCACAATATGATGAATTAGTCCATGTAATAGGCGAAGACAAAATGTTCAAAATATAACTCTTTTCGACACCAACTACACTTAATAAAAGAAGAGTTGTTGCAATTTTCTTCTTCGCAAACTGACTTTTCTAAACTGAAGAAAATATCTTTGACTTTAAAAAAAGTAATCAGGATCAGCGATTAAATAGCCGCTCGCGTACCAAGCATAACGAATCAATATTAGAGAATAAAGTCAATTCTGTCGCTTATTAAATTAAGCGCATGTTCATACACGACTTGTCAAAAAAAAACTAGGCTTCATTGTAGAAGCACTCTTTCATGCAAACTAGTATCAGGCAAGGAAGCCTGATATGTGTGGTTAGGGATCTTTGTCAGAGCTAAAAAAGTGTGTTACATATGGCCACTATGAAATGCAGTTCACGCAAAAAACAATTGTAAGTCTGTATTTCATATCGTTGTGAACAAATTTCCATTGCATCGTATTCCAATATAAATCACAGCACCGTTACAGAAAATGTGAACTTCATATTTCAACAAGGAAGCCATAGAAACCCAAACCATTTTGAGGTTTTTCTAATCTCACCAAGGCCTATATATGGGCAAAATATCACGTCAAAAGCGGAGCTTCACCTGGGAATGTTTCCTCGTTAGTGACTTTAGTGGAAGTAATTTATAGACGAAGACTATTAGATACAAGAATATAGCATATAGAAATTAGTTGTAATATCGTAAATCTCCACTATAGAATATGGAAATGTTGGAAAAATATTATTTCTATACATATTCGATATCGCTCTATTAAATACAACACTTACTTTCCTGTATCATTAAGTTTTTTTTCGATTTTTGTGAAACTCACATGTTTTCGAAGAAAATAATAGGGGGTCGAAGTTTTGAAGCTCCCCCTGTCCCCCTCTCCATTACAAACACCCCCTATTACAGACTTTAGTAACAGGAATTAAAGACGTTGAGCGAAATTAATAACTAAGCTTAGAAGATTTCACAACATAAAATCTTTCTTAAAATTCCAATAGCTACAATACGTTGTTCAATATTCTAAATAAAGCAATGTCTAATTTTCGTGCAGATAAACGATTATAATCATTTAAGTCAAGAATCATGTTTTGACTTGACACAATTGTCATATGATCAACACAAAAACATAAACTAGTTAAATTCTAACTTTTGGGAATGATTAATACTAGTTTGTCTAAGTTCATAGAGATACATAATATATTGTTGAGATCTCCTGTAGATATAATGAATATGTAGAATAGGATTATTTGTTCATTAAATCAATAGTTTGTTTAATAATAACCAATTATGAACGTAAAATTAAAAAAAAATAAATAAATACTAAACGAATAGCGACAAGACAAATAATAAAAAAGAGCGCCTGTCAAAAAAAAGAAGAAAAGAATTTTCTGTTCGAATTTTAGGAATAAAGTAGACAGTGTTTTCTGATAATCGATTATTATTGAAAAAGAACTATCGTCTTTTAAAGATTTCAGACTTTGTGTATTTTATATCAGTTTAATCAGGCTAAAAGATAGATGTGAGTTCCACATTTCAGCCTCAAAGGGGCTGCGCTAACAAGCTTTTTTACTGCCAACGGTACAATTGGTATGCTCTTCACTCACATATGCAGAATTATGACGTCGTCCTGCCGATCATCTTCTAGGATGATTAGTGATTAGAACTTCTATAGAGAGATACTGGTAGAATGTTTATATCAAGGATACAGTAACTGAATAATGAAACACATAAGTCGCTCGGTTGTCTGTGTAATTTCAAATATCTTCTTTTTCTCAAACGAAATAGACGTTGAAGAACACTAAAACTAAGATAACATGTTAAATATCTAGTCTAGATCAGATATCGTCACAGGGCAGTTTTTTACCCTGTTCTGTGATGATCCCTGATCCAGATATGGAAATTTGTACCTTTGGAGAAGTTTAAACTACCTTTCGATATGATGCAGATTGATAGTGTAAAATTTTGTTTAGATGAGGCAATTGTGCCATTTTAGACTTGCTGATAAGAGTGATATATTCAATAAAACTCGTATTTATCTCACTGAAAAATATCACACGTTCTTTCAAGTAATAATTAACTTCTGATGTAATGTTCATCACGTAATTGTCAAACATTTTCTAAGAAATTTTTAAAACAATTTAAATCTGAGGCTTACTTTAATCAACACATTTAAACATTTATTGAAAAACTCATAATAATGAATAATAGTCTGTCGTACGAAATAACTTAGTAATAAATGCACTACCTTTACGTCAAAATTCTCTCGTTAACTTAAGTACATTCAATGTTAAAACATCTACAAATAAAATAATACTTTATTAGATATCGTAGAAAGTAATAAGTATATACTCTGTTTATATGTATAAAGTATTCAACTTTTGTCCATATTAGGAAGACCATTATGATGAATCGTACCAGATTTAAATATTCATAAATCCGTTTTTGTTAAAACTAAAACTAACAAAATAGTTCATTAGAAAGAAACATCTTGACTCTTTTTTTTCTACTTGTCGACATTTTTCAAATGTTATATCTTTTTGATAAAGAATTGTATGTGAAAGTGGTTTTATTGGCAATAGATCAATACCTGAGAAAAAAATAACAAAGAGAAAATAATTCTTCTTTTTTTAATGAGGATTTTACTGATAAATCAACTTGATACTAAACCCCCCCCCCCCATTATTGAAGACCCCCCCATATTACAAGACCCCCCCATAATAGAAGACCCCTTTGGAAAGAAATCGTGATCCACGTAATAGAAGACCCCCCCATTTTTTTAAGATTTTTTTTTGAGAACTGAAAATTCTCATCAGTTTTTTACCCCGAAACGTGTCTATCTCTGGGATTTTCAGCTAAAAATTTTCAAATCCATGAGTTCAGCTCTATATATAAGCTTCGAAAATCGTGAAAATCCTTCCTCCAATTTTCAAAATCGCTTCGGTTCTCTCAGAGGGCCCTTTTATTTACAAAAACTTATCAGGGTAGCCGCTGTAGAGCCAAAGTGTAGTACTCATGAGACTCAGACTGCTACAAATTTATATTATATTCTCAAAAATGGATGGAAAAGTTTATTTTCAATAGATATCAAATAAACGGGTAGGTTACAACTAATTCTATTGTTTGAGTTAAAGCATACGCTGTAAAACTTTATCCCAACGAAACTACTTCATTTCGAGTCACTGCCTCTCCCTTCGCTCCACTTATTAGATTTCTAGAATATATTTATAATATTAATAATACCAACGCAGAATGTTAAACTTTTAAAGAAACCCTGATCATAGTGATTAATTTATATCAGTTTCTGTTCGTACATTTCAAACATTTTTTTCTTAATACGTGCTTTTTTTCTTGTTGCTCTTCGCTGTGTTATTCTTCTGTTAATTGAGATTATAATTATTTCGTATTATTCGATTTAAGCTTTAATTTAATAGTTAAATAAGCTTAGTATAGACATTGGTTGTGTCTTTGCCAGATTCTGACAAACTTGTATGCATATTAATGTACTGAGTAAGACATATAATAAATGTTTCTAAAAGTTAGAAAGTGGTTTAATCACGCTTTTATGTAACTTATACTACCGTTATGAAAAATCACAAAAGATTATCTTTCACATGAATCGTATAAACTTTTATCTGCGCAAAAAAAAGGAGGCTAGCTTTTTGCGAATGCTCTTAAAAATATTCGAACTATTGAAAAGCAAAAGATTCTAGAAATTTCCACAACCTTTTAAATATAATTGATTGTTACGACATGTAATGGAGAAGAGGGAAGAAGTTGAAAAACCTTGACTCAAACTTACGATCACTATTAGTTTCTTCAGAAATATATGTGAGCTATACAAAATTTAAAAACATAATATTTAGAACAGAAACTAGAAATTACAGAATTTTAAAATAATATAGCCGCTGGTATTAATTACTCCCTATTGTTTGTTGCTGTGGAAAGATGTAGTGATGTTTTTCCTAGCATCTGGTTACTATGATAGAAGCTGAGAAGCCGTAGAGCCTGAACTTAAACTTGCATTTACTGGATTCTTCGAAAACACTCGTAAGTTTCGCAAAAAAACGAGAGTCATAATACAAGACCCCCCCCTAAAAATTTTTTCCGCTAAACATAATAGAAGACCCGGGGTCTTTTATTATGGGGGGGGGGGGGGTTTAGTATATACTTTTCCATAATTTATAACCAATCACTAGGTGCACTACAAAGATCAATCAGAACATGAGTATTTTCAAGAAAACGATGTTTACGATTTAGTTGTAATAATTTAAATGCAGCATGAGATCAAAATCTGTTTTTTTTTTGTAATAACTTTTGTTTTATTAGAAATTCAATAATAACATACCGGATTTTTTAGCTAAATGATAGAATTTTTTTTATTTCGATACAGTTTTCTTCTTTTAGATTTTTTGCCCATGTTTATTTGAAAATATTATATTAATTAAATTCTTTAATTTTTAAAAACACCATTCAAAACGAAAATTAGTTAAAAGGCTACAACTCGAAAAACTGATATTTATCATCTAACTTATTTAACATCATTGATAGAAGAGATATAAAATACTCTTATTTTCATATATTTCTCCATTAATTAATAAACTGTAATAACATTTGGTACTGAAATTAATCATTCAATAAGCAGAATAAATAAACAATTGTATATTAACGATATCTATATAAAAACTTTTAAAGATATTCAAAAATATTTTTTATATCTTTCATTAATAAAATATAATTTTTTTCTTTTTTAAAACTTTTGTTTTTAATATTAATATACCAAATCTACTATAGATTCGTTCAATGTCTTTCGTCCAGGTCCGAAACACATTGAAAAAGTGAATTAAGCAATGTGATTGGTACATTAAGAATTAAGTCACCTCTAAAAGAAGATGACATAATTCTTAATGTACCAATCACATTGCTTAATTCACTTTTAGTGTTAATTGACTTTTCCAATGTGTTTCGAGTCTTCTTCCTATTAATCAATCATCATCATTATCAAAATTAATATATTCATGAGAGTTAATAGATGACATACGTATATTTATATTTTATTTCTAAATATTTCTATTCTCGTTAAACAAACTACAATGAGTAAATCAAGTGTGAATTTTGATGATACTGTTTGTTAGAATGAACAAACAATTATTGATAAACGTGTACTTCGACTAGAAGAATTAAACAGTGAGTCAGCTGTTGTTGTTGCTCAACACGCTGATGTTGCTATTGATACATAAAAAGAATATGCAGCTGGATATAATAAATAAGATGAAACAGCAAAAAAACAGAGCAGTTTTAGATCGTGAAACAGAAGAATTCCATTATAGTACAGTTAATAAAGATGTTGCATGGATTATTCAACAAACATAAATTGCTAAAGAATAAATACAAACTGATCTAACAAGACATATTAATGAAAAAATAACAACTTGTTAATGAATATGAATGATCAAAAGAAATTAGATATCAACATGTTTTTAAGTAGAATGGAAAGTGCTTTTGATATTAAATTACGTAGAAGAGATTTTGGACATCTACTTAATACAAACCGAAGAAGAAATAAATGATTTCATGTTAAAAAAAAACTTTTTTTTTCTTTTCTTCTGGTTTATCTTGTGTATATGTATCTTCTTGATTGCGGACAAAGATCAAACAAGGCAGCAAGCCGACAGTGAGGATGAGGGCTAAGATTTTGTCCGCAATCAAGAGGTATCCCTTGTATATTTGTTCTTTTTTTTCCGAAGTTATGCTATCATTCTCTTTTTCTTTTCACCAATTAAAGATTAAAGAAAAAACAACCGATTAGAGGATAAATTAGAATTTTGTTGTAGAATGTATTAGATGAATTGATAACATTAAACATGTTTATTTATAGACGTTCTTACTGTTTGGAGATGTATCAATCTATCAAATTTATTTAGTTTTATTTAGTCATTCGATGGCACACTCAAACTAAGGCATGTTTTCTTTTTATTTAGATTTAATTTCAATATTGTTTGGATTTATTTTAGTCTTTTTTATTTTAAGATATGGATCAAACCGATGATTCAAAAACATTTGAACATTGTATAATCGAAATATTTTCTTCATTTCAACCATCAATATGACGTTGGCGTATAATATTATTTATTCTTGTCATAGTCACACTTGCAACATTTTATCTATTAATTATCGGTGATTTATCAACAAAATTACCAATAGTCAATAAATTTAGTAATAATTTTTTTCTATTTTCGTTATATTGAAATTTTTTTCCTAAACAAAGTTATTTTTTCGTTGGATTTTCTTTATTTATATTTGCATTTTTATTTGGTATAGATCGTAAAATGTTTTCATCATCAATGATTATTGGAAAATTTCGTTATATCTTTGCTGATTACAATATATCATGTGATTCTAATGGTCGATTAACATTATAAACCACGACCAACATAACATCTAAGTGGATCATCTTGATAATCTTTTTTTTTTCTTTCTTTATGTTGTATTATAAAAAAAAGGAAAATTTTTTTTTTGTCGAAATATAAGAAAAAAATGATTTCAATTCATATGATTGTTTTGTTTTAGTATGAGTACAGAAATAAATTCAACTTCTTCTCCATCGACATCACAACAACAAATAACATCTGTACAACGTAAATTACAAAAAAATTCTTGATTTAAAATTAGAATCTGATAAACATTTAATTGAATCATTAAAGTATTTATCAAGTTTTTTTTCATGAAAATAGTGTAAGAATAAGACGTTTATTTAAGCAGTACAATTGAAAAAAGAAGTTTAATGTTAATTGATCAATTCGAAGAATATTTTCGTATTGCTAAATACCAACTTGTTCAATTAAATAATACAGTTACATCAATGTGAACTTGTTGTGAAGATATGACATAACGTTTAAATGTAAGAGAAAAAAATGAACATCATTGGATTTTTATTAGAGACTTTTAGAATGTTAAAGAACAAACAGAAGAATTAATTAATAAAACAGCACAAATACAAAATGAAAAGTAAGAAAATTTATATTTGAAAATTTTATTTATTTTTTATTGATTTGTTTATTAGTCAAGAAGTAAATATAAAATCTCGTATAACCCGAAGATTCATTGAACGATTTCAATCAAAATCTGACGGACTTTTCAATTATTTCGAAATTCAAACATTTCAGCAAGAAAATCATATGCTTTCCTCTTTCGAACTGCATAAAATTGTCGAATCAAAAAAAGCAGAATAGATAGACTATAGGCACAGTTGTAATGTGGCTCGCATGAAAACATAAACATAGGCCTATAAGCGTCTGAATCATCGTTCTGAACTCTAACAAACGGCCTCCATTGTCACTAGTAGTTTCTCTAATCCATCCATCCCGCTGAATAATAAACAGGTTCTCCAATTCTTTTGAAAAAAAAAGCTGTGTCCACATTTAAATTCTCTATTTAAAAGGAATTTTTTGATGTATTAAAACGTGTTAAATCAAATTATCAAGATTGTAAATTATTATTATGTACACGTCAACAAACAATTGATTTAAAAATAATGAAACTAATGGTACTCCATCAAGAATTAGCTTGTGAAAAATTATATCAATGATTACAAAGTAAAATAACATTAGTACTTTTTTGTTTTTATCTTAATTTTATTTTAAAGATAAATGTTGACTTTTAATAATAGAATTACCAGAAATATCAATATTAGTTATAGTGAAGCACTTGAAGCATTAAAAGTAAGACGAGTTTTTATTTAAGTAAATGATGAAAAGAATAATACAGAGCAAGATTGAATAAAATTTTCTTAGATATATTCTTGATAAATATGGTACTATTATTTGTCGTAATCCACTTGTTCGTGGTTTTATCAACGCTTTAGCACATGGTATTTCAGATGGTATGCTATATCCAATAGAATTATCTTCTTATGATCTATTACGTTATGTCCATGATATGTTTGCATGGATACACCAATCAACAGCATGAGAAAAAGAATATGCGGAAATTTTATTACAAAAATTAAAAGATTGGAATGATTTACAAAAAACCATTCAAAAATCATTAGGATATATTACTGAAGGACTTTGTCAGTTAATTAAACATTCTGTTTTTTGTTTTGGTTGTCAATTGACAAGATTTTAGATCATTACGCGTTCATCTTGAACAAGTTCTCGTCTCTCAATATGAGCCAGTAATATCCCATAAATTAACAAATTTACTTCAATTTTATTAGACAATTATTAATCAATTATTACTAATTGAGTGTCAATTAGTACTTTTACTTGGTGAAGTTAGTATAAATATTTATCTTTTTTTTTTTTTTATATATCTTCCACCAGACTAGATGAATTGGATTAAAACTAAGTCAACTAACATGATTGGTGCGTTAACATTTATGTTAATGCACTAATCACGTTGCTCGATTTAGTTTACTTTATCTAGTCTAATCCAGGCCATATACTTTTTAAGTACATTCACAAAGGTTAAAAAACTGAATGAAGAAATATGATTGGCGTTATAAGTGACACCAATTACATTTCGCAATTTAATTTTAATTCAATTCATCTAGTCTGGGGGAAGATATATATATATATTCAAATACCTTAATGAATTTTATATTTAGTTCAACATTTTATATAAAATTATTCATAATATTCAGATCGCTTATAAACAAAGTGGTGATATGGAAAATAATCCTCAAAATCGATCATTAGCAAAGGATAGTGAAGATGATCATCATTTGGTACTTAATGAAAATAAAAAGAAAGTAATATTATTTTCTCTTCAATTAATTAATTTGTAAAAATTATTTTTAATCTCTTTAGGAAACATCTGAACAAGAAGATACTTTTGAAACAATAGATGATGTATTATTAAAAGAACAACCAACTAAATCTGTTATTAAAGAATATAATCTAAAAGAAATTAATACAATTGGTCGTGAACAATCTATTCTTCAATATTATAAATTATTAATAAATGAAAATTGTGATAAATTAAATATTAACAAACTTACATCAAATGATGTAATACAAACGACCAATTTACTTATTGAACCAGGTGGACAAATGATAAGTCATTCATATAAACCGTAAAAAAAAAAATTTTAATTTTAAAAATATTATTATTTTATTTTAGAGAAAAACTTATGACGAATAATGTGAATGAATTAATACGTGAATTAAATAAATCAAAAGAACTTTCAAGTAAATCATACGAGCTTTTATGTAATCTTCGTCAGTAAGAAAATAATAAAATTAATAATTTAAGAAGAAACTTTACTTTTTTAGATGCGAAAAAACAATGAATGAAATTACAAATTTATTAGATTTATATTCTCTTCAGGAATCATTTAAATATTTAAAACTAAATTTTTCGAAAGAATATGAAGAACATCATTTATATGATGATGTTGTATCAGTTTTATATCCTTATTTAAAACAATATCTTTCTTCAAATTGGAATATTTTTAATGATAATCATAATCAAGAATTAATAGATTTATTTTTAAAATGGCGAATAATATTACAATATGTTACAATTGGTTTAATAATAGATGATGATAGTGCATCAAAAGCAAATATGAATTTATATGATTATTTGATATGGAGTACTTGGATGCCGGTTATACAAGAAACTATTCAGTAAATATAATATTTTTTTTTGTCTTTGAAAATTATATTTATCTTTTTTTTCTCTCTAGACAATGGAATTTATGTGAATCTGATAGTTTAATTAATTTTCTTAAACAATGGCAAGCATGTGTACCAGAATATTTATTGGACTACATTCGTGATCAACTTATTCTTCCAAAACTTCTTATTGAAGTTGAGCTATTGGATTCAAAATGCGATTCAACAGCAGTACGTAAATTGTTAGATGGATGGAAACCAGTAATAGAAGATCGTCTTGAACGACTTTATCAATTCATTGGGGAAAACAAAGTAGTTGAAGCTTCAAAAAATTAACAGTCATTCAGTTAATATCTAAAACAAAAAAAAAAATTTATTTTTCGTTCTATATTGCTAATGTTAAGTATAAATTTTTGATTAAAATAATAAAATTATTCATAAACTAATACGATCTCATAGCATTAAAACGTATAACGTGATGGAGCGATTTCTGTTATAAACAACAAGTTTAGTAATATGTCTTTTGGTCGTCGAATTTTCTATCTATGTGCTTTTTTTTCTCGTATTTATTTGAAGATAGTGATATTCGTTGTGTAAAATTTCGTACTTTAAAATATCTTGAATCATTAGGCAATCGTATTAATCATTATCTTGTTGATGATACTTTGAATTATTTAATTAAAGAAGCAGCAACATTGGATAATGATAATCATATTACATTTAATGCACCAGTTTATGAATTAGAACCTATAATTCATCTTGGTAATAAAAAATCTTCATTTTCTTAATCTTTTTTGAAATTTAATTTTAGATATTTTTCTACCTCGGATAGTTGATTTATCATTACATAGTTCTGATTGTCAACACCAAAATTCTAGTAGATGAATTACTTCAATCAACAATGCTTTATATGATTCGAAAAAATGCAAATAATCGAAGCACTGTAGCAGTTAGTTATGCTTATATAATCATATAAAAATCTCGATTTTATTTTAAATTTAGGCTTCATATGAAAAACTTTATGAACATTTATTTCCTGCCGTACTGGAACTATCATGTGATTTACATATAGCAAGTAGCTGAACTAATTAATTTCTTAAAATTCTCTATCGAAAATTTAGTCTACAAGAACATTATTTACTAGGTTTATGATTAAAATGATACATTGGTTTAGAAAAGATTATAATTATGAAAATTTGAAAATAATGTCAATGCTTGATACATTTATGGTCTGAGGAGTTTTGTAATTATTTGAATGTAAAATATGTTTTATAGGATGGAATGATATCAGGATGTAATGCATTAATTCGTGATGTTTAGTGGTATTTGTTTAAAAGAATTTCTTAAATGGACTGTTAAACATGCTGGAGGATTTGATTAAATAGCTTATTTAAAAAATGCGGCATCGATTATTAAACGTATTTTAAGTATTTCATTACATCCGAATAGTTCTAAAAGACTTGGATCAACGTTAGCATCGGATTCAACTAATACACTTTATCGATATGAAAAATTTTCTTTGACTTTTTTTTTAATTAAAATGATTATTTTAGTGAATGGGAGGCATTGGTGGATGTTTACACTCTTCAATTACTTTATGTATTTGGTGAAAGTTTAGCAATACCTAAAGGCGATGATCCATCTCTTAGTAGTTTTATGATTAATTTTAGTTACATGGTTGAGGCTTTTTTTATAGGTACTCAACAACAAGCGATCAGAGCTTTATCTCATATAGAACGAATAATAATAAAAGAGAAATCTTATTTATTTGTTCAAGCAACACCTAAACAACATCGTCCACCGTAAGTTTTATCTGTTTCTTAGAATGGAGATGTAAGTCGCTAATCATGTAGATCATGAACTGAAGCATGTCTTGATGTTACTGTTCGATAGTTACTTCGTCAGTGTGGAAGAAATGAAACTGAATCGCGAAGAAAATGTATTGAACTTGTTTCTACATTTATTTCACTTTTACCTGGTATAATATATTTTATTTCTTTAATTAAAACAAATTTCTTCTTCTGAAAGAGAATTCGATCAATTATTCGAGAATATTTTCAATTAAAAGTTAAATCCGATGGAAATATTTATTTTATTGAACGGTAAAAGAAAAGTTAAAGAAAATCTTTTTATTATCTTATTCGAAGTTTTTAGATTTGAAGGAACATGAAGTAAAGAAAAGAAAAGAAAAGAAAAGAAAATTTAAAGTTAATTTAGTTAATCAAACATGTTTAACTGATATGAGTGACCAATTTTCAATTCCAATTGTTTATCAATGGCTTGATACTGTGATTGCTTGATTGGATTGTTATATTTGGCTATTTTCACAAGGATTTCTTAATCCTCTTTTATTTCAAGGTAAGGTTCCAAGTTTTTAATAATAGATTTAACTTAAATAACTAATTTAATTCTGACTAATTATCAATAATCCTATTATTGAATGAATTAATTAATGTTTGTTCGATTGATTAATTAATTAATTAAATATAATTAGATTAATTAATAATATAAAAATATATATTATTTAACATTATTGACTGTTAGTGTTATTTAAAAACTAGAAAATGCATTCTATTATATCTTAGACATCAATCAACAAAGTCGTTTAATAGTTATATTATTGTTTTTTGTGACAAAAATATCGATGAGTACATTATATGATATAGTTATTTATTTTCCACCATTGAATCAAACACAAGTATTTACACCAACTCATATTAGTCAATTTGAGATGTACATGACAAAAAAAAAAACTTAATTTTGATTTAAGTTTTGATTCCATATTATAAATTTTAGGGCAAAATGTACAGTTATTTTTCGTTTACTGAATTTTATTACAGCACTTTGGTCTAAATATCCACGAGGTGCAATTCAAGCAATTGATAGTTCATTTTATATTAATGATTTAACAAAATTAATTTTAACTTGTGTATTTTATCCAACACAACTAGGACTTGATATAAATAATGAAGAAATTAATAAGAAATTACCTGAAAAAGTATGTTGGAAAAAATTTATTATTTAATTTATTCGAAATTTAATAAAATAAATATTTAGATTCTTACTTTACTTAAATCAATGACAACTCATCTACCTGATCAATTATTACAATCATTCTATGATATTGCATTAGAAATGACAAAAACCGATGGGTATGTATTGATGCTATATGATATTCGATGATTTTCATATGATAGAGTTTTTCACAATGAACTCCATAGATAAAACTCATAGATTTCAATCCGCGAATGTTTACACAAAAACATAATTTCACTTTACTTCAAGATCTAAAATTAAACGAACAGACATCATTACAGAAATTTATCAATAATACCAAAACTGTACAGAAAGTCAGTTAGAGAGAGAGAGAGAGAGAGTACAAGCAAGATCGAAAGATTTAATTTTTATCTCATATGGATCAAAGATTTTTCTAAAAGCTAATTCAAAATCGGATAATGAAGAAAACCTAATTAAGACATAATAAGCTAGATAACCAGATCGAATTCAAAGAATTACCGAGAATAGAATATTGAGATAATTATCAACAAAAAAAAATGTTTGTTTTCAAATATAATTAATTCTAAAATATTCGCATAATAATTTAAGACTTTACAATATAACTAAAGAATTAAATTAAAATCCAATTCATTGGTCATTAATATTTACTATAACTCGTGGGCATCGTCTCTTACATGATGTTCGATTACTACCTAAACCTAATCAATCTGAAGAATATGCAAAAGAATTATGGACAACAATGATATCGGTATTGATTTTCTTTTTTTTTTTTTTTTGTATTATAATTAACATTTTTAATTTATACATGTTTTGTATTTACAGAAAATGATTAGTCATGAAGAAGATTTCGATAAAGCAAATCTTGTTTTAACTGTCGATACTCAACGTGGTTTACAATCTCTATTTGATTATATTATTTATTTAGGCATTAAGGTAAAGTCAAATATTCTTTTAGGTTTTTTTTATATCTATAAAATGTACCCGAAAAATCATCTAATAAAAAGAAAACTACACATTTTCACTTAAATTAAACTAAATCAAATGGATTTGTTTTTTTTTTCGGGGAATACAGAAGACTTGCAAGTTTTTATTCATACAATTAAAGTTTATAACTTTTGAGTCGAATACATTAAAAGCAAATTTCTTTTTTTTTTTTTCGTCATTCTGGTCTTCTCATCAGCTGCATTTCCTTTGCGTGACACTTTAGTAATTGATACATTTCTGCAAAGCAATTCGTTCCTTCCTGATTGAAAACTTTGATAACAAGTTAAGTGCATAAAAACAGGTACAGTTTTTGGGCTTTCCATAGTCACCAAATTTGAGAGTAATGTCTCTAATTTTTTCTTTTTGAAAGTGTAAAGTCAGATAAGGACATCTGGGTGTCGAAAAGTTGAGAATAGCGAAAAAAAAATGAAGCCGAAAATCCTGTCTTTCGTTTTTAAGAGGAGATTTTTCTCTTATGACAAAGAGTTTATTTATAAACTTAAAAATCTCATCTATTATCAGATGACTAAATTCACTTAATTTAGTTGAATTACAATTTTCTTTTTTCTAAGTAAATTTTCGAATATCATATATAATTTTGTTTCTTTATAGCCGAATGAAGTTTTACCTTATTTTTTTCAATCAAATCGTATACATACTGATTCTGGTATGACAACAATTGGTACATATTTATTAACATTATTTAAACATCAAATAATAATTTGGCTTAGTATAACACCACATTTTATAATTGATAATGTTGGTGAGATAAATTCTGTTGAACAATGTCGTCTAATTGTTGTATTTTTAAGTACTGTTCTTGATTTATGTAGTCGTGAAAAAAATATCCGTCAACAATATGGTCGACAATTTATTCATGGTATATATACATATTGGCCATAATTTTCTTCACTTTATTATTCAACAAATATTGATGATAAAATATTAATTGTAATATTATTAATAAAAACTTTTATAATTGATAGTCATCAATTAATATTACATGAACAATTTGATAATATATCACAAATGTATTTATTATTATTATTAATTGATTAAACAATTAAATTTAACATTTAAAATACTTTTACTTAATCTATTAGCATTTTTTGCATCAATTAAAACAGATGAAAATTTAAATGAAGATAAACATCATAAATGATCAAATGATCTTTGTCAGATATTACGACAATTTACAGCTGATTGTTTTCCATTAAAAAGTACTGAATTTTCAATAGGTACACAAGAATATCATGAATATCAAGCAGCTATAAGAAAAATTCTTTCAGCATTTGAATTATCATCATCATCATTTATATTATTTGAATTATTAATATGGATGTTATATTGTGGACAACATCATATATTTGAAGAAGAAATTTTATTATCAATAAGTCGTTATGTTATTAATTTAAATAATTATATTAAACAAACAAATTTACTTGATTATATTTATTCAATAATATATGGTAAAAATTCCTTATTTCGTACAGAACATCGTTTAAATACATTAGAAAAATTAATATTAAAAATTTTAACATCTGTACGTAAAATAACATTAATTGAATTTTATAAAAAATATATATGTACATTAGTTATTGATGAACTTAATATTAAACTTGATTTAACATCACAAACATTAATATCAATGTTAATAAATAAAGTTTGTACATATTGTTTACTTGATCATATGTATACAATATTAAATAAAGATGATATATTTGGTATAAATTCTTCAATAGCTAAAGTTTTTTATGAACATATAAAAAAACAAGATGAAGCACGAAAAATTTTAAATGTTGAAACACCAATAACAGCTATTAAAATTGGACAAACATTTGATGGTAAAGAATTAACTAAACATATTATTACACGTGCACGTGCACAATTTGTTGATGGAAGATTAATGAAATCAATGGATGTTATGTTAGCTGGAATAAATACAACTGAGAAACAAATTAAATTACATTTAATACGTTCATTAGCAACAAGTTTATTTAATTGTCTTATTTCATTACTTATTTGTACACAAACAGAAGTTAAACTTTATAAAGCTTTTATGTTTGATGCTAATCCAGCTAAGGTAAATCATATGTTTCAAAGAGAATAAACCATGTACACAAATAGAACTTTGACTTGATGTTCGAGATAGTGGTAATTGAAGGTTCGATTAAGAGACTTTCATAAAAAATTTCCTACTTAGAATGATATGAGATATTCAAGTATAAGGAAGAACTCATAAGTAGTGTCCTGCAATCCGACTGGACGCCCGAAATATGACCTTATACCTGAACCTTATCTGGCAATTACTGCTGGCTATATTCAAAAAAAAGAAGCCATATATATTCTCCAAGAGGAGACTTCGGTATAATAAAAACTCAATTTCGATGTTTTCGTCAAAAATAAAAAAAAAACACAGATTCTCTGACTGATAAATTGCTTTTGAGTCGAGACTATGTGCATTACGTAAATTCAAATAAGCTATGAATATCTTGAAAAGAATACGTGCTCTTAGGTTATTCTCATTAAAACCTGTCTCTATGGAAAATTTCAAATCGAAATTCGAAAATCAATTTTTCTATGAATCACGATATTCATTTAAAAAATACCGTCAAAATGTCTTAGTTGAGTATTCATAACTCATTTAGATCTACATACTACACACAGTCTTGACTCAAAAACTGATTTATTACTTGAAGAACTTTCCTCATAAGATTTAATCTTAATTATAATTTACATAAAACCATATTTATTTTACAAAATGTTTGTTTTATTTATATTTCAGGATGAATATGTTTTTGAACATAAAATTGATCCAGATTATAAATATAAATTTCCTCTTGAACTTGAACGTTATTATGCAAAAAGATAAACGTACATTATTAAATATATTATGTAAAAAAATTTTAACAACATCTAAAACAGATAATTGATTACATCAACAACGTTTATCAAGTGCACCACGTTATTTATCTTCACAATATTTATTTGGTAGTAATTTAACAGATGAATTAGCTGTTTTTGATTTTACATCAGCTGCTGTTAATCAACAACAAAATGATTTAAATAAAAGTTTATCAAATTCTTTATCAAATAATTCATCAACAAATATAATTCAACAAAAAGAAAATTGATGATAATGATAGACCAGCATTAATTGAAGGTTCAGATGATCAAATAGGTTCTGAATTTATTGATAACGGAAATGGATGAACTTAATTTACATCCATGTATGATACCAATGGTTTGTTTATTAAGACATATGGAAACAAATGGAATAATTCCAATAAATGATCGTATATCTGAAATACCACCATGGATGATATGTATGTACAAAAAATTTAGTAATCCACTTATAACATTTAATATAAAATTATTTCTTATGTGTCTTATTATTCGTACACATACAATATTTAAACCATATGCATGTTATTGGTTAACACCAATAATTCATATATGTAATCAAATGTTTGAAAATTCATCTGAAGGTTTAAATATATTTATAATTGATACAATTGTTATATTATTATCATGATATAAACAATCTATACCAAGTGAACTTGATTCCATAGCTGTACAACGTCTTATTAAATATTTATTTTCAAATTGTTCACATCGTAATGTTATTGTTATGAAATCAAATTTAGATTTAATAAAAAATTAATGAAATGTTGGAAAGAATGTATACATTCACCAACATTAATTCTATATAAATTAATATCAGAATCAGATTTAAAATCAAAACAAAAAACACAATTGGTCTTTCATTAATTGGAATATTATTAGCTAATGAAATTTTACCATATTATGTATCACCAACACCAACAGGAAATTTGTCACCTATAACAACTAATTCAATATTAACAACTATACCAAATGATTTAACTGAAGATAAATTTAATGATATAATATTTCTTATGATGATGTGCTTTCCTAATATTATAGTTTTGGATGGTTAATCTTCTTAAATGAATGATAGCAGATTCCTTTTTCCCTTGCTATCTATTTACTTATATGCTTCTTTTTTACTGGATAAATCAGATATCAACATGTTTTTTTTTCTTTTACAGTCTCTTTTTATTATATAAAACCTAAATACCGTACATTTTGTACATTTTGCTTATGAAAATGAATGTAAATGTACACTTTGCTCATTAAAAACAGTGTGTACTGTACATTTTATTTTAGATTTCTATTAGAAACACTGATTGGAAATGTCAAAAATGAATGAAGTTATATCAACATCAACTTCTGAAATCAAAGTTTTTTATTATATCGATGGTCAAGATACACCTTATTTAACAAAATTAAATGTAACTGGTTCACCACGTTTAAAAGATTTTTAAAATGTTCTTGGTCGTAATTGTTCAAAATATAAATTTTTCTTTGTTACAAATGATCCAGCTATTGGAAAAGTTAAAGAAGAAATTATTGATGATGAAGAAATTTTACCATTTGATACACAAGATCGTATTGTCGCTTATCTTGTTTCCAATGAAGGTAGTACAATATCAAGTGGTGGTGGTGGTTTAGGAGAAAAAAATAAACATTCCAAACATCTTCATCATCAACAAGACTATAGAATATTAACATCAACACCAAATAGTTCATTTAATATTCAACAACTACGTTTACAATGTATATGTGAATGTGATGCATGAGCAAATAGTGCTGATTATCAAAAATATTTTGCTAAGGAACAAGCTGAATTTGGAGCTAGATCATTTTCAAGTAGTAACTTGGAATCAACAACATCGTTAGATGAAACGGAAAATGATCAGTGAGTACAAATTTTTAGCCTTTTTGCCATCAAAGCTTACTAGCAGCTTTAGTTTTCTTCTGTTATATTCATCGATCTTTTTAATATGATCTTTTTCAAAATTTTGTTTATCTTAGATATTCAAAAATTACTGATTCAACAATAATTTCATCACGATATCATGGTAGAAATCGACCTCGTGGCAGACAACATCAATTACCATCAGGACTTGATCAAGTACTGTTCTCTATTCTTTCTTCGAATTTTTTTATTTAATAAATTTAGGCATCATCATCCAGCAGTCTAAATTCAGATTCAACAATGGTATTAGATACTCTAACGGTAACACTTCATTTAAGTATGTATTTGTTTTATCATTCATTGTATAAATTAACAGAATGTTTTTATTAGACACAAATAACTATTTGGGTATTTTCATATTGAGCTAGATCAATACGACGATAATGTTTAATGTAAACGGCAAATACTGCAGCACATGCATCATTAGCAATGATTTCAATTGATTTTTGTAAGATATGTTGTTTATTACGAATGAATAATTTCATTTTTGATATTAATTTTGTACCTTGATCAATATTATGATAGATTGAAATTAAAAAATCATTGTCTAATATTGATTGTTGTCGTTGTAAAGGCAAAAAAAATTGACTATAAATACTTAAATCAGATTTGAAAAAATACGATAGATATGGATTTATATCTGCTGTTAGAGTTTCATATCCACCAGAAAATAATGGTAATTTCAATGTTTTATTATATTTTTTCTCTAATGGACTCTGTGGTGGACCAACAATTAACCGATGACTCATCTCTCCTAATAACCACGAAATTAAATAATTTGTCTTATCGTTGACATCGATTTTTGTTTGTATGAAATATTCGGCAAATAATGGCATGACACCAGCAAAAATTGGTTGTATGCAGAGGTGCAGAATCTACCCGTGTGCGCCAGCGCGCGCTTGGGGAAATTTTTTGAATCTGGGAAAATCTTTGGGAAAGTATTGTATATGAAGAAGACTTTTTGAAAAACTATAGGTCTAAATGAAGTTTTCGAAAAATATTAGGCTTGGAAAAATTCTGCAAAAGATTTCCCGCTTGGGGAAATTTTTCATTTTTACGGCAGATTCTGCACCTCTGGTTGTATGACAGCAAAATTAAATTTTGATTCAGTAAGAGTACATAGACCAAGAAGAAGTGGTTCGAATAAAATACTTTGAATTTCTTGTTGAAGACAAGATTTAATTACATGTGTCGTATATTCTATGCCAAGTGTTGATAGAGCAGATGATTCAAGTTCATCGGATATATCGATTGGTTGATTATTTAAATAAACTAAAAGTAATTCTTGAAATATGATTATAATTTCGCGTAATCGATTAACTTTTTCAATGTCTAAGAAAGTCGATTGTAACACGATATCAATGAATGAATGTAAGACTATGTATGCTAATGTGCTGTCTTGTCTATGTTGATTATCACATAGAATTTCAATCCATTTATATATAAATACTTGTTGATTTAGTTTATTTAATAACTGATCAATTAATATCGGATGTCGATTTTCAATAATATGCTTATGAATGAATGTTAACATTTTACCAAATGATGATGTTTGTTTTTCAATCAAATAAATCAATGCATGTGAAGCTTCTTTTTTTCTCTCTTCTAATTTATCATCAAGAGCTAATTTGGACATCAATGTGAACCATTTTTCAACGTCATTTTCATTCAAAAAATCATGAAAATTATCGAAGTTTGCACTTATTAAAAATTGTAAATGCGTTGTGAATAATCTTAAACAAACGTTTAAAATATATCCAAGATTCGTATCGAATGATGCTTCTACTACTATTGTTAATTGTTCGATTATTTCATATAGACATTTAAATGTTTCGGTTTCTAATTCAAATGAAAACGATCCATTTATAGAACCACGATCGAATTTTGATTTTGCATGAAATTGATTATGTAAATTAATATGAACAAGTAATATTGAACATATGAATTGACCAGTGAATTTCTTTTCATTTAATGTTATCAATTGTATATTTGGATATGCTTCAATTAATTTAAGATATTCTACAGCAGCTAAAAGCTTCTGTTCAATATCCAATGCTTTTTCAGTTGGCAATACTGTTTCTAGGAAAAAAATCGAATTCGACAAGTATATAAAAAAAAAGCATGCTAAATCTTTTATGACAGTTCCAATAGTCTTTTTTTAATAAAAATATTGGGCAAAATAAGCAGTCTACGAGTTAAATATCCATACATTTTATTGCCCAGTATCTTAATGACTATCTTTTGTTCGATTTAAAATCAATTTTTCTTACCAGTTCTATTATGAATTTGAGTTGTGATATTATTATCTGTAGTATTATTCTGTGGTACAGTTGTTGTTATAGATGGTGTTTGCTTTTCTTTTTGGAATCGATCTAACATCATCGTAAGATGCTTGTTCAATTTAATAAGTAATTTTCTTATATCAAAAATATCGTTCGTATTGAAGATTAATTTTCTTATTAATGGTAGAATATCTTCGAATGATGCCTTCATGACAGAAAAATTAAATAAAATATTAAATGATTGATTTACTGCAATTGGATTGATATCAGTTTGTGTTGATAATTCTTGAATATAATTAGTTAATGGTTTTAAAGATTTAAATAAATTATCGGATCGTTTGTAAACGTCGGATGAAAGATAATTCAATGGAATTTGTTCAACAAGTTGATTTGTCAAGTTGAGCATTTTATGAATAATAGTAGAGTCAGATTTATGTACTGATTCGAGTAACATCAATAGCATAGTTATTAAAGATTGAACAGCAAAAAATGATAGTTCTTTTACTTGTTGTTCATCTGATATTTTTTCCCAATCGATCAACGTTTCAGAAAATATTGAATTCATTTCATTTTCATCGTCTTTTAATTTTTCACTATAGGAATTTTTCAATTGTTCCTATTTATTTATGATCACTTGCATAGAATTTTGTAGATTGGTATTCATTGTTGCAATATGATCGAACATTTTTTTAATTATTTCTGCAATTTCCATATTGAAGTTCTTAACTCCAAATAAATTCGAGAAATCAGATATATCATTTCGAATTTGATTGATCAATATTTCTTTTGTAATTGATAGTTCATTTGAAATCTTCTGATTAGGTAACGAATTGAAATTTTTATTGATTTCATTGATGATGTCAAATGGTAAAAATAAATGAATATCTTCTGTTTCATTCGCAGATGATACCTCATTCGATTGTTGATTATTCGTTGCCAATAAATCAGGTATTTTACGATCAGATAAAGATATCTGTTGACCCATATTCACCTAATTGTCGATCAGGAAATCAAGCTTATCATTGTACAATGATAATCCAACAATAATATTCGATGTCACAACCGATTCTATAATAGTTAGGAGATTATCACATCGAATCGTATGCAAACGTAACCAAAAGAAGAACACAAACAAAATGTTTGTTTGTTAAAAATAAATGACATTGTATCTTATTGGCTTCATGCTTTTATTCGAAAACCTCTCAAATGAAAAGTGAAATTAATTTTCTCATTTTTTAGTAAAAGAAAATGATTCGTGAAAGCTAGGTATGCACTAGTGCCAGTTCAGAACTGGAGACTGGGTACTCAGTCCGACTGTATATATATCTAACTGTCTATGCTTTATTAAACCATCGGTAGTTTAGGGGCACTCAAAGGTCCTAAAGGGCTATCATATTGGAAGTGCCTATAGGTTCTCAAGCTATATCATACAGAGGTATCCATAGGTCCTCAAGGCCTATTATATAGGGGTGCACAGAAATTCTCAAGGTCTATGATATAGAGCTACTGATAGGTGCTGAAGAGCAGGGTGGACGACTGTTTTTGACATTGGGACGAATAAGGGTTAAAATTTGGCAGAAAGTCCGTCATCTTTGTCGCACAAAGTCAGTGTTGTTTCTGTCCCATTTCTTGCCGAAAATCAATGTTATGCATACCATATTTCCTGCAGAGATTCCAAAGTTTTGCAGAAAATTCAACACAAATACCAGCGACTTTCTGCGAGATATGCAGCAGAGTGGACTCTACTTTCTGAAAAGTATTTGGCCTAAATAACTTCGACTTTCTGCAAGATTTTGGCAAAGAGCATGTTTGCTTTCGTTTGGTTACAGCAAATTGACAGGTTTTCTACTGTAGTGAACTATAATAGTTGTCTGTGTATTTCATTAAATTTTCGATTGACAACAATTTTGATTTTTTAAATAATACTTGATTCAAAATCAACATCAAAAATAAAGATATCGTACAAATCTCTAAGAAATAATATCAGATCATTTTTTAATACATTTTGGTATACTTTTAGAGAACCGTATTTTGGTATCAACAAACATTATTGATATTACATGAAGAATAAAGTTATGTGACGCATGCATAAAAATAAAATATATCGTCTTTTCAAGTTCATGACTGAATTGCATGAGAATTCTCCTTTGTCGATTTACATGGGCTCATATGATCATTTTCAATCAAATAATAAGAGTTTAGATATTAAAAAAAAACGAAAACTAGCATCATAATCAATTAAAACACGATGAACATTTAACAATATACACATTAATATCATAGATATTAGTATCATCATATCGATTGAAAAACTAACCTTGATATTAGCATATAAGAAATATCTAGGAAGTTTAAGTTTTATAATTCATGTTTTGAGTTCTAAGCAATACGTAATAAGTATGTAGAAAAAATGAAAATAACGACATAAATTTCAATATTTATAAGGTAATATCAAGACTGTTTTTTCAATCGATATGATGATACTAATATCTATGATATGAATGTTTATGTTGTTAAACGTTCATGACGTTTAAATTGATTATGATACTAATTTTCAAATTTTTTTTATATCTTAAGCCTTGATATTCTGTTGAAAACGATCATATAAGGGTCAAGAATTCCCATTTTAATATAATTATGATGATACTATCTTTGTCTCACTTTATAAGATAAATAAAAATACAGATTGATTATCCAAGTTTATTTTAAAGATCAAATATGCACGAATAAGACTTAACTACAGTAGTCATATGCAAAAAAAATGACAAATGGACAAATATAGATATAACATGGAATGCAATATGATTGGTGTAAATGAAAAACGATAAGATACACGCACTATTGTGTGTAGCGTGTGAGTATAGCTTATCTTAACCTCCTAATTGGTGGGAGGGCGAACATCGCCTTAAATGGCAGTTAATATCTGAGTATTTTTCAAAAATTATTCAAATAAATTTTCTTGTTCATAAGAGTCTTTTTCAGATTACAATCACCATAAAACTCCTCCATTTTTTGTTGTTAAACTAAAAATTTATTGATATTCAATTTTATTTGTTATTGAACAAAAAAAACCTTA